GTTTTTATAAAATCAAAGCAGACACCTCTCTGGGAAAATTTTGGTAAAGCAGTTTGTAAAAAAAATTCACCATTTTCATTATCCATTACTAGTACTCCAATCCATATCCATTTGAAATAAAGAAGCAAAGAGAGAATTCCTGTGTATTGAAGTGCTTGATGAGGAACCATCTGGTAGAAAGAAATTCCTGGGTTTCCATCTGCCTTCAATGGAGCAGAGCCATATATGAGCTAAAGGGATTTTAGTGGAGAAAAAGAAAGGCGATAATAATAGAATGCATATTGCATATTAAAGTTTTCAAATCCATTCATGGAAATTGGAAACCAGTGCTTTCACCTCTGCTGATGGAATCCAACTATAGACTCTCATAGAATTGAAGAGTTGGAAGGGACCCCAAGAGTCATCTAGTCTAAGCCCTTGCAAAGCAAGAACATCTGCTAAGGCACCTAGGACAGATAGCCATCCATCAGAGAATGAATTCTCACAATTCCATCTCTAGGAAGAATGAAATATATCTGTTGCAGAGGATTGGGGACCACCCCCCAGCAGATATTTTCAAGTTTGAGGGCAAAAGGAAGCAAGAAAATTGCAAAAAAACAAACAAACCCAAAACACCAACCCCACCCTGCTCCAATTTCCACTGATAAATGGATTTTGCCAGTGAATTCCACCCATATATTATATTATCAACCCTTAGAAATACAACGTCAGGTACTGAATTTGATTATTCCAATGCTCGAGTTAGGCATTCATGGCTGAAAGAATATACAATGATCAATAGCCATCAAGTGGATTTATGCACTGAGAGGAAATGCACTGTGGATTTCCTTGCTCAAAGTTTGCATCTATAATTGCTTGATTACAGTAACATTCTCAGAGCAAAATTCTTATTGACACATTTTTTGACCAATGAGAGAAGCGCAATAATCAGACTGTACAACGGTTATGGGATAAAATCAGACCAAATTTTGATTAACATCAGCAGGAAGGGTAATATTTGGCATGCCATTAGCGACAGGATCAGTTCATATTCCACAAGCCCCATGATGATGGAACGGATCCGCTGGATTTGGACCACCCCAAGCCCATCTCATGGCCCCTTATGGGGGCTCCCTATACTATGTTGATCCTGCCTGATACCATTTCCCCCTTCATACAAACATGCAAACAATTTTCTTCCGCCTAACAAAAAAGGACACAATTTTACTAAGGAAACATGAAACAAACTCCAACCAAATGCCAATCAAGTTGAGAGAAAAAAAATTCATTTCCAGTCCTGTCACCTAGTAACCCCAAATTGCATTTTAAACTCCTCCTGAAATAAATACAGTAACACAAAAGAAAATTCTTATTGCCCAGTTAGGCATGTTATTTGACATAGAACAGCAGCGAAATAAGGAAATATGAAACAAACCCCAACCAAATGCCAATCAGGTTGAGAGGAAAAAATCATTTCCAGCCATGTCAACTAGCAACCCAAAATTGCACATTTAAACTCCTGAAATAAATAAAGTAACAGAAAGAAACAGCAGCACTCACAGCATTAAAAACCATATCACAAACAGGATCGTAAAACTCAGTTTGCATGTGAGATTCATAAAAAGGAAGTCTCAGTATTTTTAAGGCCCACATTAATGTCTTGAAATAATAGTATAGGAAATGTGGAGGGTCACATAGAGGGAGGGAGGGAAAGAGAAAGGCAGAGCTCTCCTACCTGTGGAACTTTATAGTTTTTCAAGAGCGTCGCCACATTAATGGAAATTGGGGCATCCACTCCTCCAACAACTGCTATTAGATTTTTCTGTTGCTCACATATGTAGTTAGGGATAAATCTCTCCTCTGTGGATAAAAGTAGCATTGTAGCGTGATAAGTCCTCCTTGCATTGCAATAGCTGTCATAGACGTGGAAGCCCAAAGTGAGATTGGGTAAGAGGTGAGGGTTTTCATTGATCTCTTTGACTGTGAATGCCAAAGCCAGGATGTGCTGGTAATGCTTAGGGACTATGCTGAAAGAAGTGTGAGATTCTTTTTCAGAAGGATATTCCATACTTAGTTTAGTTATTACCAATGTTTTCTGTGTCTCTTTTATTAACAATCAATTATTACAGTATTTATATATAAGTTGGATATAAATATAAAAAATAACTATGTAAGCAGTCACATTTACAATATAAAACTCTCCATTCTGATTAAAATAAGTTTTTAGATTTTTATCATTTATTTTATTATAAAGCTTTTTTGAAAATAAGCAAAAAAACCACACCCCACCATCCCATCTGTTTTGTTATATTTTAACAAAACAGATGGAATGGTGGGTTTTTTGTTTTTGTTTTTTTTAACTGGTGAAGATGGAGCAGATTGGGGAGGCAATCCTATGGCAAGATCTACCAGGATGAGCATTTTAGAATTCACTGGATCTCTGACTTAACCTTGCTCAGTTGGTATTAATTCCTCAACCCCAGTTCAGGTTAGCATACATGAGCATAACTTAGTCATCATAGAAAATGGAGGGTTCAGATGGCTGTGATGAAGCTGGTTGAGCCAAGCTGGTCTAAGACTGAAAAAAGGAGCATGCCAGGGGCAAGGCAGAGGTGGAACCAGAGAGCAGAACTTTTGCTAGATCCTAAGCATGTTCAGTTGGTCATGTGACCTGGCAATCTAGCATAGTACGCTTTTCCCCCTCAGCCAGGCATGGACAGAGTAGCAGCAGGAGCCCTGCTGCCGAACAGGGTTTAGATCTGGTGTAACTTTATGCTGCATTAATTTGCAGCATCTCACTTCACACTAGCTTTTGGTGGATAGGATTTATGCCTCCATTTTGTGTTCTTTAGCTGCAGCTCTAGCACAAATTGTCCTAGTGGAATCTTATTATTATATAAAATAAATTAATACAATACTTGGAAAGGAAAAAAAAAAACAATCATTCAGGATTTACACTAATGGTTCTGTCAATGTTGGCAGGGGTTCTTCCCTGAAGGCTAGTTCACTGAGCATGACACCAGCATCATAAGCAATTCCACCAATTATGAAATCTCCTTGTTGATGATATTTGTGAAGTGGAGGCTGTGGGTAATAGATACTGCACTGAACAGTGTGAGTCTGGCATCCCATTGGAGGAAGCAGAGCCAGCAGCAAAATGACTACAACCACCATCCTCAGTACAGAAGTCTGAAGGCTGGAGTATCCAAGAGCAGAGCTGTGAACCCCTGTGTGTACCCAGCGCCACTCCATATCCCTGACTTTTACTGGATATATTTATGACAACCTTCACACTCTTTGCTCTCTGTTCTGCTAACAGCCAAAGAAGTTCCTCAGGGGTTTGGCTGAATATCATAACAAATGACAGCCCTTCTGACTAGCTAATTGTGTAGTTAATTATTACATTAACAACAATTCCTAAATGGAGGGTGTGGAGTCCTTTAGGAATTAAGAAAAGTTGTTTGTCACGTATTCTGGAGAGAAGATTTCCCTCACACTTTAGTTAGGTAGGAAGGCATGGTAAAGTTTGGAATGACCCGCAGCATGAAGAGGACACTGGATTCAAATCTTTGTGGTAGGGGTTAGCAACAAGGTATTCAGGGACGCGGGTGGCGCTGTGGGTAAAACCTCAGCGCCTAGGACTTGCCGATCGTATGGTCGGCGGTTCGAATCCCCACGGAGGGGTGAGTTCCCGTCGTTCAGTCCCAGCTCCTGCCCACCTAGCAGTTCGAAAGCACTCTTAAGTGCAAGTAGATAAATAGGTACCGCTTTATAGCGAGAAGGTAAACGGCGTTTCCGTGTGCTGCGCTGGTGCAGGCTCGCCAGAGCAGCTTCGTCACGCTGGCCACATGACCTGGAAGTGTCTCCGGACAGCGCTGGCACCCGGCCTCTTAAGTGAGATGGGCGCACAACCCTAGAGTCGGACACGACTGGCCCGTACGGGCAGGGGTACCTTTACCTTTATTCATGGATACCTTATGCCTGCGTCTCCTTCTTATTGCACTATGAGCGGTCTCAATAAATGTTCCCTCATAAATCCACATTAAACAAGAGGATGTTGGTCAGGATATGGGGGAGCACTTGAGAAGCATTAACTGCCTCAAAGCACCCCTTTTACTAGAGAGTTATGAGTTTGAAGCCAACTGTGAGACGCTTAGTAAGATTGACCTGTGATGCATCAAGCTATAGGCACTGACAGACTCCGTATGTATTCTGCCTGCTGTCACCTCCTGACACCTGCTGTCACCTGCTGAAGGAAGGACAACTGGGAGAGAGAAATTCTCTATGGAGGAAGTTCCCAAGTCTGTATGTAGCCACTGAGAAGGCCCTCTCCTGCTTCGCTACCAAGTGAACCTGTGAGGGTGGCAAGAACAAAAAAGGACTTCCCCCAAAGATCTCAAAACCCGGGCTATTGAGGCCATTAAAAGTGCACATATGGAGGCAAATAATGTGAATAAAAGCTGACTCTTTGAAATAAAAATTCTGCCATGTAAAAATATGGTTCAAAAGATTTACTGCAGAACTTTACTCTGAAGCAACTTGAAACAAATAAAGTTACATTCAGATAGTTGAATGATGTCTTATACTTGTCCAAGCGTAGCACACTTGGATTCCAATATATATGTCTTCGAGTGCTAAAATTCCAAGCTTTGTCTTTCCTCCGTTCCAGTCTCCATTAGCCTGAGGTTCTTTTCTTGGAAAGAGATAAGCAAATGGACTTGTAACACTAGAGGTTTCATGTGATTCTAAGCTAAACACCTTGTGATGGACCCAGATGAGATTTAGCCCCACTTAATCATTAACTGCTAAACTCTTCTCTCAGCTCTTCTTTAGCTTCAATAGAAGTTTCCATGCTATGCTTCACAACCTAAATACAGACACATTACAGATTTATTTTCCATTTCAGTGTACAATTAAACAATTTTATTCAACACAGGAGCATGCAAAACAATGAAGAAAAGAAGATAACATAGCAGAGCAAGCCAATTTTAACCCCTTGTCTGGTGATCACTCTTCATACATGCATGCTATGCACTCAAATTCTTCAGGTCTTATTTCTTATTAGATGTTCCCTTTCGTTCAACTCAGGCCGCAACACAATAATGTAGCATTTGGGGGCAAAGATGCAACCCAGCAGACCAGCACCAGAGGCTAAGATAGAAAAGATCTCCACAGCAACCATGTATTTTCCCTTGGTACTGAGATAGGTTGGAACAAAAGATACCCAAACACTGCAAAAGACCAGCATACTGAAAGTGATGAACTTCGCTTCATTGAAACTGTCAGGTAACTTCCTGGCAAAGAAAGCTACAGTGAAGCTGACAAGAGCCAGGAATCCCATGTAGCTCAAGACAGAGCAAAACATAGTCACGGAGCCCTCATTACATTCCAGTACAATTTCTTTAGTGACTGAGTGCAAGTCGACATCTGGAAATGGTGGTGAAGATGCCAGCCACACAGTACAGATGCCTGCTTGAATAAAGGAACAAGACACCACAATGGCAATAGCCAGTCTCTTCCCCACCCACTTCCTCATCCTGGATCCTGGCTTGGTGGCCATGAAAGCCAAAACCACTGTCATGGTTTTTGCTAGCACACAAGAAACAGCCACTGAGAAGATAATGCCAAAAGCCGTCTGTCGGAGGAGGCACGCCACAATTCCAGGTTGTCCAATGAATAGCAATGCAGACAGGAAGCAGAGCAGGAGAGAAATTAGCAGCATATAAGTGAGGTCTTTGTTGTTTGCTTTGACAATGGGTGTGTGGTGGTGCTTCAAAAATGTTCCCAGGACCAAAACTGTGAGCACAGAAAAGGTAAAAGCAAAGCAGGCTAGACTGATGCCCAGAGGTTCCTCATAGGACAAAAAGGTTGTTTCCTTGGGAATACACATATCCTGATTATTATTTGAATATTTTTCTTCTGAGCATATATTACATTTGTTCATGTCTGAAAATGAAAATATGTCGTCTTAATCAGGGAAAGTGAACACTTATTCCGTAGAAATCATGTTTATCTGAATTATGTTGCGCTCCAAGGGCCCAAGAAAATTTTCTGTCTTGTCTGGTGAAACCCTATTAAGTGGTGTTTGGAGTTTTAAGTGACATCTGTGAGGAACATTGTGTGTTGGAATAATCTGTAAGCAAAATAAGGCTAGGAGTTAAGGCTAAACTGCTGCCCAGAATTTCCTCCTAGGACAAAAATCTTATTTTCTTGGGAATACGCATATTGTGATTATTGTTTTGATAGCCTTCTTTTTGGCATTTTTTATAGTCATTCATGTCTGGGGGGGGGAGTCTGATTTTGAAAAAACAACAATGCACATATTGTGCAGAAATCCTGTACAGTGTTACCTCGGGTTACATACTCTTCAGGTTACAGACGCTTCAGGTTACAGACTCCGCTAACCCAGAAATAGTGCTTCAGGTTAAAAACTTTGCTTCAGGATGAGAACAGAAATCGTGCTCCAGTGGTGTGGCAGCAACAGGAGGTCCCATTAGCTAAAGTGGTGCTTCAGGTTAAGAAAAGTTTCAGGTTAAGTACGGACTTCCGGAACGAATTAAGTACTTAACCTGAGGTACCACTGTATTTTAATGGCTTTAAAAAACATGTTCTGATGATATTCATATTATAATATATGTTGTATCCCTTTCAGACAACTGCAGTGCCTGGAAACAGGCAGTCAGATTGCCCATCCATAGCAGTAACCAAAGGATGAAGGACTGCTTGGAGGAGCACAGTGAGAAGAAATGCAATGGTGCATTTGCAGCAGCACAACTGGATGCCTTCAGCTGCCCCAGCTGCAACAAAACATGTCTCTTCCATATTGGTCTCTACAGTCACAGCAGGCACTGTAACCTTCCAACAGTTTGACTCCACTCCCAAAGGCACACTCCTCTATTGTCTCCCAAGACAGAGAAATGTTTGTATCACATTTCAAACATGCAAGAAAATTAATTCTGATATCACTCATTCACTCATTCCTCTGACTTTCAGCCTTTGCTCTGTATGGTATATGTATAATTCTTACCCTCCTGGACTGAAATCTCTCCTTCTGAGCATGGGATACAATCATAGCAGCAAAACGGCCTTCCTTCTTTCACTTTCTTCCTAGAACCAGGATGGCACCGCTCAGTACATAAAGAAACAGGCCGAGACTAATCCACAAATGAGAGAGCATAATAATAAAATTGAGAATAATGAGATTAGAATATTTGGGGAAATTTTTCTTATTTTCCTAAGTAATGACTCCATCCAGTAAGGTATGATCAATGCTACGAGCAAGTGTTCCTTCCCTATATTAACACAACTGTGGTACCACAGACTTTTAAGAAACCATCTACTTGAATGAATGGAGCTTGGTTGAATGTTAAATGGCATTGATTGTGATTTCATGTATACTTAAACTAGTGTCAATATAATTAATTGTACTTTGCCCCCTCCAAACAACTTCTAAATTTATACAGTGGTACCTCCGGTTACAGACGCTTCAGGTTACAGACTCCGCTAACCCAGAAATAGTACCTCGGGTTAAGAACTTTGCTTCAGGATGAGAACAGAAATCGCATGGCGGCGGCGTGGCAGCGGGAGGCCCTATTAGCTAAAGTGGTACCTCAGGTTAAGAACGGTTTCAGGTTAAGAAAGGACCTCCAGAATGAATTAAGTTCATAACCTGAGGTACCACTGTATAGACAAGAATATAGCAACCAAAAGAACCCTATTTTTTCCAATCCATTTATTGTGCTTCTTAGAATTTTTTTATGTTGTATTTATTGGACATCCTCATTGTCTAATGAAATTAATTTCTGACATCAAAACAGATAGACAGTGTCCATCTCAAATGGCTGACAGTGGGGGCCTACCTGGTTAAAATGGTTAGACCATGTTATGGCATCTCCATTGATGGTGAGTTTTTTCCCATCCAGTGCTTACTCAGAATCAGGTGTCTTCTCAGATGGGTGACCACTGAGGCTTACCTGGTTAAAATGGTTGGGCCATGTTATGGCATCCCCATTGATGGTCAACCATTGGTTGGGATCAACATTCCCAACCTTCACTCTATGAAATGATTGGTTTGGGGAAACAATCCAGTTGATCACATCAAATCCAGCCTTTAACATCCCATTCTGGTCAAAGGAAATCTTGTCCCCACCACTGTTGTTAAAGGAGACACTTCTGAGAAAGTGATGGAGCTCAATAAGAAAAGAAAAGGCAAAATTTAAGAAAAGTCTGCAGTTGGATCTTCTGTATTAAGGTCTGATATTGTTTGTGGTGTTGTATTCATTACAGATGTGCTGTGTGATTCAGGGACAGGAGAAAATATTAGCTGCAATTTCTAGAGATTTCAAAGTGATTTCCAAAATACAATATACAAAAAAAATATTTTCATACCAGTACAACGGCTGATAAAATATTTTTATTCACTTTCATATAGAAAGTCCTTGGACCATAAAGGAGAAGAAGAGGTGGTAGTTAAAATACCCCTTATTTGTGTTTCGTTGGCAGCAGTAGCTTGTCCCCATTTGCTAGCATTCTGGCTCCCCACATCTCTCAGGTGCTACCCTCCACTCCACCACCACCCAAACTCAATGTGCTTGTACTTTGGGTTTACACAGTGTGAAAAAGCCTACTTCTTACACCACATAATGTGGTTTTTGTTTGGTTTTTTTTAGAAAAGTGAGTTCAGAGGCATGCATGTTCATGTATATCCACTTCCAGAAAGGCTGTCCTTGGGATCATAAATTAGTCAGATGCATTAAAGTCTTAATCAGATGGCAACCATAATGCTGCCTATTGCACAATAGAGAATAGAACTAGCCAATATGGTACTCAACAGATGTCTTTTTATTAGAATAGCTGTCGGCCCTAAACAACATGAACAATAGTCTGGGTTGATGGGAACTGTAGTTTAACAACATCTGGAGGACACTGTCCATTGGCTGGACCTGGCTGATTAAAAGGATCAAACAGTCAGATGGAGACCACTCAAGAAGATAAGGAAGGATAAGAAGAAGAGTTCCTAAAGCGATAACTGCATACCATTTCAATAACCTAAAGAACACTTAAAGATAGCCTACATAGATCAGGAACATAATAAAAATGCATACTGTTAATGTGCTCAAAATGAGAGAAGGCTGGTGGTCTGGGATGGGAAATGAAGGGGAGTTGGAAATATGAGGATGGTCAGAGTTTGGGGAGACAGTTTATTACATATATTTGGGTCTATTGTAGCAGAGTTGTAGTGCTCTGCCACTTGACAATATTGAGCCTATTACCTGCCACAACTGATACTTCTGTCCTCTTCTGTCCTCCATTGCTTGTAAGGACATATCGTGCAAAGCATAGGCTACAGCATATAGAGCATTGTAGATGCTGTAGCTGTGGCCATTCATGCCCATCTCAAAGAATGGTGCTGGAAGGCTCTCCAGTTTCTCCTCCCCGGTGCATATATTCCCCTCCACATCTACCACATTAGTGTTTGGGAATACACAGCCAAAGGCTTGTCGCCAGAAGTCCCTGATAAAACCATCTCCTTTTGTTCTGAAAGGATTTCGACTCTTAATAAATTGTTTGAAATTTGGTACATCATTAGAGTGAATTGTGAAGGAGAGGACACCATGGAATATTTCTGTTTCCCAGTCCCTTTGATAAAATTGTGAAGTGAGTTCCATTTGGGCTGTTGTTATCCACACTATACTTTTGGGTAGCTTTGGTGGATATTCTGCAAAATATGGAATCCATCTTAAAAACACCATGGAATTTGATTCACCATAAAATGCAACTACATTGGTTGTACTGCTCATTACTGCATTATGTATTTCTGACCCATCTTCTAGCATTTTGTTCAGTTTAGAGACAGATCTTATCAAAGGGACTCTTTTTATGAAGTTAAAACAGACACCTCTCTGGGAAAACATTGGCAAAACAGTTTGTAACAATCTTTCACCACTATCATTATCTATTACAAGGAACCCAATCCATATCCATCTGAAATGAAGAAGCAAAGAGAGAATCCCTTTGTACTGAAGGGCTTCATGGGGTACCATCTGGTAGAAAGAAAGTCCGAGGTTTCTATCGTTCATCAATGGGACAGAGCCATATATGAGCTGGAGAGAGATTGGGGGAGAAGAAAAAAGATAGAAAAAATAGAATGTATGTTGCATCTTAAAGGTTTCCAAACAATTAAGGTAGGTTAGAATCTAGTGTTGTTCCCTTTTGGAATCTAGTACTGTTCCCTTTTTCTGTCAGCAAAACAGGGAATCAATTTTGGCTACTTCCCTCCTCCCTCCCTCAAGCAACCACCACTCCTTAAATCTTTTTTGAGAGCATTGAGTAATGTTCCAGAGAAGGAATCTGTGGTGTGTGGGAGCTACAGGGGGCAAGAGGAATAGCAAAAAATGGACCCTCTACATGTTCCACTGATGTATGCTTTTTGTTAATACAGGGTGGTACAATTGGAACCCCTATAATCACATTAGCAAGCTTTAGAAGTAAAACGTAGGAGGACTTTTATTATTCTCATTCTCCAGATAGGGAGTGGTGACTGAAAGTGAATAGATTGACTTAAGGACATTGATTGTACTAGGTACTTCATGTACAGTGATGCCTTGGTTGTCAAACTTAATCCATTCCAGGAGTCCGTTCGATTCCTGGAGCTGTTCAAAAACCAAGGCGTGGCTTCTGATTGGCTGCAAGAGCTTCCTGCGCTCAATCGGAAGCCACATCGGATGTTCGGCTTTCAAAAAATGTTTGCAAGCCGGAACACTTACTTCTGGGTTTGCAGCGTTCGGGAGCCAATTTGTTCGGGAGCCAAGCCATTCGAAAGCCAAGGTACCACTGTACTGTTATTATTTTTCATTCTTCAATTGCTAAATCACATCTTTCTGAGAGCAAGGTTTCAAAATATTTTGCAGTAATGAGTTTGTATTTGGGAAGTAACTTCTGTCAAAGGTTTTGTACAGTCTACATGAGAAATCATAACTCCAGCTATATTGGAATTTAAGTAGCTGCCTCATACCAACTCAGACCATCTGCCCATCTATCTCCAGGACAGCAGTGGCTTTGCAGAATTTCAGACAGTCCTACTAGGAAATGCTGGGGATTGAACTTGGAGTCTTCTTCATGCAAAGTGGATGCTCTACCACTCACCGACAGCAATTCTCTTGCCAAAAAAAATAAATAAAAAAAAATTCATAGAAGAGTTTGTAAAAAATAATCATAATCAGGACAGTGAAGGTTCTTGATGTTTTACTATAATTCCTATATTCTGTATTTCTACATAACATGCTATAGGTGCACAAAAGAATTATCCCAGGTTTCAGGAGAGGCCAATCTTCCTCTTGCCCATATCTGGGTGTACACATGCAATATCCCCTTTATTGCCTTTAAACTTTCCCTGTTGCTTGGATATCAGTTACCAAAGTTCAGAGCACTATAGCTTTGCTTCAAATTTTATTCAGCATTCACTTGGCAGCATGGGGTCCCTTTTTATATAGGCTATTTTTATATAGTTCTGAACTGTATTTACACTTTTTCTGAATTATGAATGAATCATAAAGTGTATTTTCTTTTGTTTTTTCATCTCATCAGTTAACTCATCTTTAATTAAATATAGGTAAAGGTAAAGGTACCCCTGCCCGTACGGGCCAGTCTTGACAGACTCTAGGGTTGTGCGCCCATCTCACTCAAGAGGCCGGGGGCCAGCGCTGTCCGGAGACACTTCTGGGTCACGTGGCCAGCGTGACATCACTGCTCTGGCGAGCCAGCACAGCACACGGAATGCTGTTTACCTTCCCGCTAGAAAGCAGTCCCTATTTATCTACTTGCACCCGGGGGTGCTTTCGAACTGCTAGGTTGGCAGGCGCTGGGACCGAACAACGGGAGCGCACCCCGCCGCGGGGATTCGAACCGCCGACCTTTCGATCGGCAAGCCCTAGGCGCTGAGGCTTTTACCCACAGCGCCACCCGCGTCCCAATTAAATATAATCCTACCAATAAAACAAAAGAAGCAGCAGTACTCAGAACATTAAAAAATGGTATGAACAACAGCAGATTAGAATCTCATTTTTCCAGTTTGGAAGTGTGATTTCTAAAAATATGAAGCTTGATTCATTGCTTTCAAGGTGCCCAGTACAGTGATACCTTGGTCTACAACCATAATCTGTTCTGGAGGTCTGTTTGTAAACCAAAACAGGCTGTAACCCAAGGCGCGCTTTTGCCAATGGGGCCCCCCAATATTTTTTTTCATAATCCCCCCCAAAAAAGGGTTGTAATCCAAAAAAAGTTTGCAAACCGGGACACACACTTCCAGGTTTCACATGTTTGTAATCCAAAATGTATGCAAACCAGACCGTTTGCAAACCAAGGTACCACTATAATGTCTTGGCACAACAGAATAGGAAAAATGGTGGGACTAAGAATATGAGTGTTAAATTCCCAACACACACACACAGAAGCAGGAAGAGCTGTCTTACCTGTGGAATTTTATAGTTATTCAAGAGAGTTCCCACATTAATGGAAATTTGGACATCCAGTCCTCCAACAACTGCTATTAGATTTTTCTGGCTGTCACATAGGTAGTTAGGAATGACTCTTTCCAATGATGATAGAAGTCGCATTGTGGCATCATAAGTCTTCCTTGCATTGTTATAGCTGTCATAGATGTGGAAGCCCAATGTGAGATTGGGTAAAATCTGAGGGTTTTCATTGATCTCTTTTACTGCAAATGCCAAAGCCAGGATATGTTGGTAATGCTTACTGACTGTGCTGGAATAAGAGTGAGATTCTGTATCAGAAGGCTATTCCAAACTTAGTTTAGTTATTGCTGCTGTGTTCTGGGTCTCCTTTATCAATAATTAACCATTACAGTATTTATATATAATGTTTCTATGTTGGCCTACATAAATATAAAGGCTGAAGTATAGGAGTGGTCACATTTAGAAGATCACACACTCTATAATATTTCATCATTAGCTTTTTCTTTTTTTGAAAAGACAAAATAAAACTAAAAGCATAGCCGAATAGATGCAAGGGGTGAATATTCACCATGGGCTTAAGAAATCTCTGATAAACATAATGCTTTCTTTTCCCTTGAAATTTTATTTACTGGCTTTTCTTTGCAGGGTTGTTCTTTATAGGGTTTCAATATTGAGCCACCTGAGCTTGAGCTGCCTGAACAGTTTAAATCTGAAACGTGGACATACTGGGGGCATGGCGGCATGGGACCACAGAGGGAGGGCATTAAACTGGATCATAAGCATGTTCTGCTTGGTCGCATTACCTGGCAACCTGGCATAGAATACCATTTTTAAATTCTTTGTTTTCCCTCTCCCAGGCTTAGGTAGGGCATTAGTAGCTGCTTTTCTGCTGCATTAGGTTTGGATCTGATGTAACTTTATGCTGCTTTAATTTATACCAGTTTGCTTTACACCAGCTTCTTGCACATAGGATTGCTCCATTAGTTTTGTATTAGCATGCAAGTCTCCTTAATAGGGACAAAAGAAGTTTTAAATAAAAAAAACCTATAGAGTAAAAAGGACTAAACAAGCCTCAAGCAAACTTTTTGAGAAGTCCAGTTTTGTTAAGGAAGGAAGAAAATTGATTAAAAGAAGGAAAGCCAGCCATCTGAGGTAAGAGTGGAGATGAATAGGAAGACACAAGTAGAGAAGAGAGTACGGTAACTATGGAGGGAAATGTGCCTTATCTATCAATGGCAAATACAGATGTACAGTGGACCCTCCGGATACAAACTTAATTTGTTCTGGCGGTCTGTTTGCACCCCGAAAATTACATAAATAGAGGTGCACTCTGCGCACATGCGCAGCGTGATTGAGCGCTTCTGCACACACGGTAGAACCCAGAAGCATACACTTCCAGGTTTGCCGTGGCTGTAACCCGAAGATTACATATCCAAAGGGATATGTAAACAGAGGTATGACTGTATATACATACACCAACACACATACTCATGTATTGTAATACATCTGTAGGTATATATAATATACCCGCCCACTAACTTGGGGGTAGCCAATGTGCTGCCCTCCTCCAAATGCTTTTTGTACCACAACTCCCTAATACCTGCCCATTGGACATCCTGAACTTCTAGTTCAGTTCAACAACATCTCATGGGCACAATATTGCCTACTGCTTCAGGAAGTGCAGTGATGTTTTCCCTACAGCCCAAGCCAAGCAGCCAGATTTCTAAGGCTGCAGCAATAGCACGCATTCACCCTGTGACAATAGTTTGTTTAATAAAATAAGTGAATAAAATACATAGGAGGAAAAGTAAACAGTCAGTAAGGCCATACACAAATTGTTCTCCCAGTTTTTGCCGGGGTTCTTCCATGAAGTGTATTTCACTGATGATGAATCCAGCATGATAAGCAACTCCACCAATGATGACATCTCCTGGATGGTGAAATGTGTGAAGAGGAGGCTGTGGATAATAGATATTACATTGAACAATATGTGCCTTGCATGTCATGCAAGGAAACAGGACCAGCAGGAAAATGATTAAAATCGCCATCCTCGGTACAAGAGCAAATCTTCCCTCTATATATAAAAACCTATATTTTCTTTTACAGTAGAAGCATTAAACCTCTGCCATTAAAACTGCCCACGTTGAAGATTTTGCATTTCCCTGAGAGATCTGAAGCCTGGAATAACAAAGATCACCACTGTAGGCTTTTGCCTGTTCCCAATCCCTCTCTTTATCTCTGACTGGTACTGGGATATTTAGGATGACCTTCACAGTCTTTGTTCTTTGTTTTCCTAGTGGCAACTGAAACTCCACAAGGGTTTGGTTGCACATAGTAACTAATTACTGTCCTTCTGACTAGGTAATTGTGTAGTTAATTATTCCACCAAAGGCAATTCTTAAGCGAAGGATTTGGAGTCCTTTTGGAATTAAGAAACATTTGCAGCACATTTCTTCTTAGAAAAACATGTGCCGGTAGCTCATAACCCTTGAGTACCCCCAGAAAAAAAGGAATGGTTGTTTGTTATATTCTAAAGAAAGGTTTTCTCTCACACTTTAGCTACATATTAACATTCTCTGGAAAGTATAGAGGATTTTTTTTAACAAAGTGACAAGCATTACACACCACCATCAAAAGTTTGGAGACAACATGACGCAGGACACTTTGAGAGTGAGATTGTTTTCAGCTGACTTCTTAACATTCAAAAAGCACCTTGCCGGGGGTGGGGCAGGTGGCAACAGCAAAAATTACTGAAAAGCAAAAAAATACAGTACAATGGAGGGATGGGATACAGACACAATCCTTTCCCCTTACAAATCTTAATTCAGTTTCCCAAATTAAAATTTCATATTAGAAGAATGTGGAAGTCTGTTGGAAAATCTACATAGAGCAACTATAGAATTAAAAACTAAAAAGTATGATGAAGAGATGCAAATTCTTCAGGCCCTATTTCTTATTAGATGTTCCTTGTTGTTCAGCTCAGGTCGCAACAAAATAATGTAGCATTTAGGAGCAAAAATGCAAGCCAGAAGACCAGCACCAGAGGCTAAGATAGAAAAGATCTCCACAGCTACCATGTATTTTCCCTTGGTGCTGAGATAGGTTGGAACAAAAGATACCCAGACACTGCAAAAGACCAGCATACTGAAAGTGATGAATTTTGCTTCATTGAAACTGTCAGGTAACTTCCTGGCAAAGAAGGCCACAGTGAAGCTGACAAGAGCCAGGAAGCCCATGTAGCACAGAACACAGTAAAACATAGTCACAGATCCCTCATTACATTCTAGAACAATTTCATTAGCCAATGAGTGCATGTCAACATCTGGGAATGGGGGTGAGGATCCCAGCCACACAATACAGATGCCTGCTTGAATAAGAAAACAGGAAATAACAACGGAATTGGTCAGTCTCTTTCCCACCCACATCCTCATCCTGGATCCTGGTTTAGTAGCCATGAAAGCCAGAACCACTGTGATGGTTTTTGCCAACACACAGGAAACAGCTACTGAGAAGATGATGCCAAAAGCAGTTTGTCGAAGGAGACAGGTCGTCTTGTCACGTCGGCCAATAAATAGCAATGCACAAAGAAAGCAGAGTAGGAGTGAGATGAGGAGAGTGTAGGTGAGGTCTCGGTTGTTGGCTTTGACAAGGGCTGTGTTGTGGTGCTTCATAAATGTTCCCAGCACCAGAGCGGTGATCGAAGAAAAGGAAAGAGCAAAGCAAGCTAAGCTGATGCCCAAAGGTTCTTCATAAGACAAGAAGCTAATATCCTTGGGAATACACATGTCCTGGTTCTTGTTTGGATATTCTTCATCTGAACATTTATTACAGTCATTCATGTCTATAAAAGAAAACATGTAGCCTTAGTCTCAGCAACATGCTGAAATTGTTCTTTCCTGACAGATAAGATTCTATGTTCATATGATAGAGCAATGTCAGTGTTTTTGTAGCTCTAAAGCTATGCTGAGCATCTCTTGACACTTCATACCACATTGTGACATTTATTTCAGTTAATACCTGGTCACAATGTGATCTAATCTTAGGTCATGACCATAAAATATGTAAGAACCATATATTTGGTAATTGATACATTTTTATCGATTCTTGTATTCTGTTTATTTCCCCCTTCTTCCTTCATTAATTAATTTTTGAGCATTTACGGTTTCCGGCTGTGCCAACAAGTCAATGGTGGTTGTTCTTTGTAGCCTTCTAGGGGCTATGAAAAAGTTCAGGCAGGGGAAAGAGAGGAGATGAGGTGGGGGAGGGAGAAGTAAATTAAATATATATAAATACACAGACAAAAGACATGTAGAAAATAAAATGATGAAAACGATGTGGTCCTGGATGATCACAGAGTGATCTCCTTATTTCACATCCATTGAAGGAAGTGAAATTCTTCGAAGGCTGGGCCCCTTAAGCTACATTACAAAAGTTAAGTGTCCATTTCACAAATGCATGAACCAGAACAGCTAAGTTGGGGGTGAGGGGAATCACAAGCTTCAATTTAAAAAAAGCAAACAAACAGGTAATGTGCTTGAAACCTCAATGTGTAGGTGATACTAAACACTACCTTTGAAAGTTTTCTTCTCTGCTAAGATATTACCAGAACTACCCATTATATAGATACACAGAAGGCACCATCATTTTTATTGACCAGATCTGTTTTTAATACCCTGATTCAAGTGATCTCATATATCAGATACTTACCCTCCTGATCTGAGATCTTCCCTTCTGGACATGGGATGCAATCATAGCAGCAAAATGGCTTTCCCTCTTTCACTTTCTTCCTAAAACCTGGGTGGCACCTCTCAGTACATAATGAAAGAGGCTGGGACTAATCCATAAAAGAGAGAGCAGAAAAATAATATTCAGAATAATGAGATTAGAATCCTTTCCTTTGTGTGAACATTTCATTTGTTACTAAAGTCATACCTCTTTTCAAGAGACTCCATCTCTGAATGGAGTCAGAGGCAGCTCATCCTATTTTACCACCTGAGGCAAAACAGGAATTGCTGCCTCATGGCCCCTCCACCATGTCCTGGCTCTCACATAAATTGATGGGAGCCAGGGTGCTCCTCAAAGTGTTGCTGATCATTTCCCCTCTGGTAGAGGTCAATTGACAAAATTGTGTGCAGGAATAACCCGAGTCTCCCAGAATTCATTGGGAGCTGGGGTGCACTTCAAAGTGTTGCTGTTCACTTAGCTTCCCTGTACATGGGCTTGGAAGATGAGTGGCAAGCTTGGAAGATGAGTGGCAATGCTACTCAAATGGCTAACAATTGGGACCTACCTGGTTAAACCAGTCATGCCATGTAATAGCATTCGCATTGATACTGAACACTTGGTTGGCATCTACACTCCCAAATTTCACTCTGTGAAATGATTGGTTTGAAGAAACAATCCAGTTGATTATATCAAATCCAGCCACTAACTCCCCATTTTGGTCAAATGAAATCTTGTCTCCTCCACTGTTGTTAAAGGACACACTTCTGAGAAAGTGATGGATCTAGTTTGAATAAGGAAAAGGCCAGAATTTAGAAGCGGACACAGCTGGGCCTTTCATAATAAAATTGAATGTTGGGTACAACATTCTGAGTGAGAAAATATTCATGATAAATGTGCTCACTCTTTAGGATTCAGAGATAGATTATACAGTTGCAATGCTCTGTCACTTGAGCCTATTACCTGCCCAAACTGTTGATTCTGATACTTCTGGCCTCCTCTGCCTTCCTTTGCTCTGAATCTAAATGAAGACTTGTCGTGTAAAGCATGGGCGACAGCATAGACAGCATTGTAGATGCTGTAGCTGTGGCCATTCATTCCCATCTCAAAGAATGGTGCTGGAAGGCTCTCCAGTTTCTCCTCCCCAGTGCAAATATCCCCTTCCACATCTTCCACATCTGGATCTGAGAATACACAACTAAATGTCTGTTGCCAGAAGTCCTTGATAAAACCATCTTCTTTTGTAATGGAAGGATTTCGGCTCTCAAGAAATGGTTTGAAATTGGGGACGTAACTAGAATGAATTGTGAAGGACAGGACACCATGGAATATTTCTGTTTCCCAATTCTTTTGGTAACCCAAGGAAGTGAGCTCCATTTCAGCTGTTGATATCCACACTAAGCCCTTTGGTAGGCTTGGTGGATTTCTCGAATAATAGGGAAGCCATCTCAAAAACACCATGGAATTAGATTCACCATAAAACACAACTACATTGGTTGTACTTTTCATTATTACATTGTGTATCCTTGTCCCATCTTCTAGCATTTCATCCAGTTCAGAGCCAGAAGTTAACATAGGGACTCTTATTTTAAAGTCAAAGCAGACACCTCTCAGGTTAAATACTGGCAAAACAGCTTGCAAAAATCTTTCACCATTTTCATTATCCATTACAAGAACCCCAATCCATGTCCACCTGAAATGCAGAAGCAAAGAAAGAATCCCTTTGTACTGAAGGGCTTCATGGGGTACCATCTGGTAGAAAGAAAGTCCTAGGTTTCTATCATTCAACAATGGGACAGAGCCATATGTGAGCTGAAGAGATGAAGAAGGCAATAATAATCAGATATATATTGTATATTGAAGGTTTTAAAACATATCCATGTAGGTTAGAAGCCAGTGTTGTTCCCTTTTCAGATGAAAGCCATATGTCAACAAGATAGGGAATTACATTTTGTTGATTCCCGCTCACCTCAAGCGAAAGCACTGCTCCCTAAACCTGGAACAGTTATTTGTGGAGTATGGGGGCTAAAGGGGACAAGAGGATTTAAAACAAACAAACGAAAAACAAAACTCAGCTCGTCTGTAAGCTCCTTATGCAGCTACACTGGTTTCTAGGTGCCTCCCCCATTTCTTTCTTGTTGGAATCATCTGCATTTGTGCCTTCCGTATTTCACCTTTAAGAAACTCCCATCCATCTTGGGCTCCCTTCTCTCTGAGTATTTCTGACCATGAGATCTCACCTAGTAGTTCTTTAAGCTTTTTTGAAATCAGCATTCCTACAATCCAGAGTGCATGTCCAACTACACATAGCTTTCCCTTGCCGCTAACTGTGTTTCCTCCTAATTGTGTCTACCCGGATGTCCACATAAATAGTGAATGCTTATCTCCCTTGAACTCTCCTTGTTGCCTTGATATTAGTTACTCAAGTTCTGAGCACTTGTTTTTCTTTAAATTACATGCAGAATTCACCTGGCAAGGTGTGGTTCTTCCATACATTGATGGTTTTTATGTAGTCCTATTTGCACTTAATTTTCCCCGCAATGGTGAATGTACTATGAAGAATATTTTCTTCTGCAGTTTAAGCCCTCTTTTAACCTCCTGAATTTAATACAATCGAAACAATAAAACAAAAGAAACAGCAGAACTGGCAGCATCATAAAAATTCTATCAGCAACATCGGACTAAACTTCTTATTTTTCAAGTTTGGCTCTGAGATGCATGGAAAAAATAAGTCTGTCTCTTTTTTTGCAAGGCACACATTAATGTCTTTGAATCATAGAATATGAAATGCAGTATGTCTAAGAATATATGTGTTAACTCCCCATGTTACACCCACTCACCTACAGACAGAGAGATTCCTACCTGTGGAACCTTATAGTTACTCAAGAGAGTTGCCACGTGAATGGAAATTTGGGCATCCAGTCCTCCAACAACTGCTATTAGATTTTTTTGCTTGTCACATAGGTAGTTAGGGATAAATCTCTCCAGTGCTGATAGAAGCAGCATTGTGGCATGATAAGTCCTCCTTGCGTTGTTATAACTGTCATAGATGTGGAAGCCCAGAGTGAGATTGGGTAAGACCAGAGAGTTTTCATTTATCTCCTTTACTGCAAAAGCCAAAGCCAGGATGTGTTGGTAATGCTTAGAGACTACACTGAAATGAAAGTGAGATTCTGTTTCAGAAAGTTATTCCACACTTAAAAAAAAAAAAAAAAGCAATGTCACGGTCTTCTGTACCTACTTTTTTCAAAAAGCAAGTATTACAGCATTTATAAGGTATATATATTTATAAAAAGATAAACAACACCAGTGTTTACATTGAAATTTCAACAATGGACAATTAGCATATTTTGACCAATAGATGTATCATGGTGTACAGTATGCAAAGAGACTGGATAAAAGCACAAAAAAACCAACAACTTTTCAACATGTCAATGAGCACCATTACTATTTGAATACTCAGAAATTATACATTTTAAATTAGGAGGGTGGTGAGGAGAATGACAACTTATCAAGAGTTATCATGGTTTGAAAATATTTTGTTTAATAACCCAAAGAAAGCAGTTTCCAAAATATACCGTCAGGCATTGCATTAGCAAAATTAGCCTATCATATTTGGAAAAATAAGCAGCAAATTTACTAAAAGAAAATCCTAGGAATGATTGTTTATGGGGGAAGCTCAGTAACTTTCTTGTAGCTTCTCTACTGCAGGAAAATTGTTTAAAGGTGATAGATATGGTATCAACCCCTGGTGATAATTTTAAATATGATGAGTGAGATTTTATCTATTGTACATGAATCTGTAAATCTGTTAATGGCTTTTGGAAACTAAGATAGCAAGTTATTAATGTTATCTTAGCAGAAAGACTGAGGCTAGAACCTACAATTTTTTTATTCAGAATTGTAAAAGGAAAACTGTTTAAAGATCAGGAGGATATTGCTCTTTATCTAAATGGAATTGGGGTGTTGTTGTTGTTTTTTTTGTTATTCTATGCTTTCTTTATTTTTATGCTTTTATATTCTGTGTGTGCAATGACTGTAACTTATTTTATAAAGCTACCTTTTCTCACCAGACCCTCAACCCTTCCCTTAAACACTTTAGCTTTTTCCTACAACTCAACTCAAGACGCCAATGTTTCAAGGCTGTAGTTATCCCAGTGTCTGAAAAAGACAAGAAAAGCAAACAGTTATTAAGACCTTACACAATTGGTTCCATCAGCAGAGGCAAAGGTTCTTCTTCGAAAGGTAGTAAACTGGTGACGATGCCAGCATGATAAGCCACACCACCGATGATGAGGTCTCCTGACTGATGATATGTGTGAAGTGGAGAGTGTGGATAAACCATACTGCACTGAACAGTGCGAGCCTTGCATACCATGTGAGGAAACAGTGCCAGCAGCAAGAGCACTAAAACTACCATCCTCAATACAGTACAAATCTTTCCTCTGCACATAAAGTCCCCCCGCTTTTATAGCACAATAACTACAGCTTCTGTGGTTAAAACTTCATGATTTGAACGTTTTACATTTTCCTGATAAGCCTGAAGCGTGGAATAGCCAAGATCAGAGCTATGAACCTCCCCCTGTTCCCAGTCCTTCTCCCCGGCTCTGAATTGTATTGGGTATATTTATGACATCCTTCACAGTCTTTGCTCTTTGTTTTGGTAATGGCCATGCAAATTCCACAGAGGTTTGGATGACTATCAGAACTAATTACTGTCCTTTAATTGAGAAGTCAGTTGTTAAATTAAATGTAATTGTTGAGTTAAAATTGGAAAGTCCCTGTGCAAATGAACAAAGTTGTTTGTCTCATACTCTGGAAAGTTCTTTTTTGACACAGATTTTCTCTTTCAGTTAGGAAAGGAAGGGGCAAAAAAGTTTGAAATGAGAAAGATGACAACACTATTTTCAAAACAACCACCACAACCACAACAATGTCTCCTGTTGGCATTAGCTCAGCCTCTCCTACATTGAAGTCATTATTCTCCCCCTCCCCACAATGGCTATTTTGTATTATATGATGTCCCCAATATGGCCATTTTGTGATATACCATGTCAGCCATTTTGTGAATGGTGCCCACAGAACTTAAAAAAAAAATTCCAATGTGTAAAATGGCTTCAAAAAAGTGGTGATGGCTGGAAAGGGAAAAGAAAAAATGTGGGGTCAGTAACCAGGCCCTGTAGCAACTATTAAGAGTCATGGTCAAGGAGGGCTCCCATATTTCAAAAAGTAAAAGCCAGGACACCCCAAAATTGTTGAGCTTGCTGAAGATCCAGGACAGGCCTCTGCTTCCAGGAAATCCCCCCTGAATGTCATTTCCACCTTTGAAATTCCAGTAATGTCCAGGATTGTGGTCAGATTGCCCTCTGACCTACCACCAGAACATCCTGGGAAACTTCCAGTGCATCCCACATGATTGCTCCCAGCATTGTCAGCAAAACACTGAGACCTTGGGGTGGGAGGGAGGCTGCACTCACTACAAAGTAACTTGACTGATACTTCTTCTTGAGTGTCTGGATCTTTACAGTGATTAAAACAAAAACTCATGAGCCTGCTCTGACAAATTGGCAAGGCATATTGTGGGTAAAGCTGCTCTTGTTCATACTGAACCGCTCTTGATACAAGTCCTGTGTAGATATCCGGAGCAACATCTAATCATTTTGTGGGGGATCATTTTTCAGATAATGAACCCTCTGGATGTGGACACAGTGCTTTGGTAGAGGATTGGCCTGTTACCTACATGCTTAAACATTTCCCTTCTTAGTTATTAGAAAGTGTAACCCTGTTGATTCTCCCAATTCACTCAAGAACTTTTGATACCACAGACCATGGCATCCAACTGAATTGACTCTAAGATACAGGAGTCGGGGATATTGTGTTTCCATTCCTAGCCACAGGGTCTGCTCATGTTTGAACAGTTGATTTCAACTTGTATCCATTTTTATAATATATGCATGAAGTAAGGGTATAACACAGGATTCACAGGATTCACAAATGCCAGGCTGAATCAATGTGATTTGGAAAGATTAAACAGGATCCCACCCCCTCCTGAAATTCAACATGAGAGAAAGTTGTACCTTCCAATTATAGAGTGCAAAATGGTTGATACTGGGGAAGGCACACTTTTAAGTACTTAGATCCCAGGCCATTTAGGACTTCATATGCTAGTACTAACCATGAATTAAGCCCAATAGCTCATTGGCTGCCAATGCACTGCTTTCAAGACCAGTGACACATTATCCCATCAGGCTTCCCACTTACCAGCCTAGCAGGTGCAGTCTGTAATAATTGAGGTCTCTGGACCATCCTCAAGGTAGGTCCCACATAAGCACATTGCAGTAGATGAGACAGGAGGCCACCACAGCACAAACAACTGAAGTCAAGCCTTCCAGACACAGGGATGGCTGTAGCTGGTGAATTCTTATTTTATTTTTTTCATACATTTCATCCCATTGAAGGGAAACCACTGAAGCTAACCTTCTACAATTGATACACTTTTGACAAAAGGGATTTATTTCCATATATCTTGTACTGACTTAGTGTATTAAGAATTGCATGCCAAGGCCCCATGACCCTGTCGCTCCCAAGACAGCAACTTATAATTTGGTTCAAATAGGCCACAACTTTATTGATTACAGATGCGAATGGCTATAATCCTCCCCACCTGTCCTCAGATTGGAACATGTGAACACTGCCTGACTGTTGAAGGTCTAACATTTGGATAGCTTTCATTCTCCTGTACACACTTATTTCACAAATTATTTTGCAAAATGGTTGAATTTGAAAACACAGAAAATGAGTGAATCTTACTTTTATATATTTATTAAATTTATATACCTGCATCAGACTATCACAGAATGGTTTACAGTAGAAAAATACACTTCTAATATCTGGTATTTGGGTAAGATCATATAAATATTATATTATAATTTGGTGTTCATCACAGCCTTTTTCTTCCTAAACATTTAATCCCCTTAACAGGGTAGTTTATACTAGTGATGTGGCTGCAGGTGATGTGGTGGTGATTTGCCTTGTATGATTAGGTTTTCCTTTTTGGCATTTCCAACCTACCACCAGGTTTGGTGGGCATAGTATGTAAGTGAATATAAGTTGATGTAATGTACTTTACTCAATACATGGTATCCATTCAGGAAGATTCCACTTTTCCATTGGAATTTTTTAATTAGAGGAAATTGATGGAATTTGAGTGAATATTGGTCTAGGTCACATTTTAGGAAAAAACCCCTTAGAAATATTCTGCAGTGTAGACACAATGTATAAGAGGCACATACACATATCAGCTTCTGTGCTATATTTAAATCTATATTCAAATTATTCTGCCTTTCCTCTTCATTAGATGTTCCTTGTTGTTCAGCTCAGGCCTCAAAAGAATAATGTAACATTTTGGAAAAAAGATGCAGCCTAGCAATCCAGCGCTGGAGGCTAAGATAGCGAAGATCTCCACAGCAACCATGTATTTTCCCTTAGAGCTCATATAAGCTGGAACAAAAGATACCCAAACACTGCAAAAGACCAACATGCTGAAAGTGATGAACTTGGCTTCATTGAAACTGTCAGGTAGTTTCCTGGCAAAGAAAGCCACAGTGAAGCTGGCAATTGCCAGGAAGCCCATGTAGCTCAGCACACTGGAAAACATAGCCACAGACCCTTCATTACATTCCAAGACAACTTCTTTACTCACTGAGTGCATGTCCACATCTGGGAAGGGGGGAGAGGTTGCCAACCACACAGCACAGATACCAGTTTGAATAGCAGAGCAGAAAAGCACAATGGAGTTGGCTAGCCTCTTCCCTACCCATTTCCTCATCCTAGATCCAGGTTTGGTGGCTATGAAAGCCAGGACCACTGTGGTAGTTTTGGCCAACACACAAGAAACAGCCACAGAGAAGATGATGCTAAAAGCAGTTTGTCGGAGGAGACACAACACTTTTTCAGGCTGTCCAATGAATAGCAGTGCAGAAAGGAAGCAGAGCAGGAGAGAGATTAGGAGAGTATAGGTGAGGTTCTGGTTGTTGGCTTTGACAATGGGAGTGTGATGGTGTTTTATAAATATTCCTAGCATCAGAGCACTGGTGAAAGAAAAGGCTAGAGCAAAACAGGTTAAGCCAAGTCCTAACAGTCCCCCATATGACAAATAGGTTACAGACTTAGGAATACATAAATCCTGATTTTTGCTTGGATACTTTTCATCAGCACATTTTATGCAGTCATTCATGTCTGAAATAGAAAAGCCAGATCTTGATTTTACAAATACACCATAACATTTCAACACGATGCATAAAAATGTTTCTTTCACGCAGTCAAAACTGTTTGTACAAATTCATATATGTTCAGTGCTGGTACTCTCAAATGTGGTTTAGAGCCTCAGTGATATTAAGCAGCATTGTTAGTACTAAAAACAATGATTTTTTAAGCAGCCTGAGATTACAGTGCAAACCTAAATGTGGCAGAAGACCCATGATCATTAAAGGGGGAACTTTTGTTCATCTCCTGCAGCATCTAAGTAGTGTTTAAAGAAAGGCCGAAGTAAAAGCCTGTTGCAGTGCCATTCACAAAACATGAATGATAGCTGCTAAAGCAAAATATAGCTGCAAATTTCTCTGTTTATGTACTTTTCCTTTTAAAAATAAAACAAAACAAAAAAACAGACGATTTGTAGTTTATAGCCAAGGAGCAACACTAATTTAAGAATCCCAATTTTGAGGTGTACCTCAATAACATCTTTGAATGGTGATTTCTTTGGTGAGATATCAGCAGAGCAGCACTACTAATAATGCATTGCAATTTTAATTGAATTAATTTCTTTACAATCACCAGGTCCAAATGATACCACATGGACCAGATTCTCCCTAAGCAGCAGCCTCTTCTTAGATCCAGCTCACCAAACCATTTAACAAAACCTATCACTCAAGGAACAAAAAAGTAACCTTGAAGCATTCACAGTTATAAGCATACTCCTCTGAATGACACCCATTCTTTTGATAAACCTAAATAATATATTTCATACCTTCCTGATTGGAAATCTCTCCTACTGGGCAAGGGATGCAATCATAGCAGCAAGATGACTCCGACTCCCTCCCTTTCTTCCTAAAACCAGGATGGCAACTCTCTGTACAGACAGAAAGAGGCTGTGCCTAATGAGAATACATAGTATGAAATTATTAGAAGAGTTTGCATTTGATATCCCGCCTTTCACTCCCTTTAAGGAGGCTCAAAGTGGCTAATATTCTCCTTTCCCTTCCTCCCCCACAACAAACACTATGTGAGGTGAGTGGGGCTGAGAGACTTCAAAGAAGTGTGACTAGCCCAAGGTCACCCAGCAGCTGCATGTGGAGGAGCGGAAGACGCGAACCCGGTTCCCCAGATTATGAGACTACCGCTCTTAACCACTACACCACA